AATTCTCTCATAAAGTTGCATTGCCATTAATTTGAATGGCACCCCAAACACACCTCGCACCTCAAATTAATGGCAATTCTTCCTTCAAAGAAGATATCCAGGTTTTGGAAAAATTAACCCTTGCAGTGGGGCTTCCAGAGTTAACTGCTCGTTTTCCTCCAGGGCTCAAACAAAGAGGAAATCCTTATTTGATCCTCAGACCTGCTGGGCTGCTAGACCGGTCCCGGCAGTCTCTTCTCCCCCCTCCGGTGGTCTATGCCCCGCTGATGTCATCACATCTAATACAGTCCATTGACCTGCATTAGACATAAGGACGCAGAGGGACATACCACAGCCCGGAGAGAGGCTGCAATGTTCTACAACCTGGAGTTCTCCTTTATGAGAGCTTCAGAGAGCTGCAGAAGGAAGTGTGCCTTTTCCTGCTTCTGCACAGAGGCGACACAATGAGACAGGTGAACGCGCCGAGCGGAAGGACGATCGATATATAAATGTACCTCGTATTGCATCCAGCGCGGATCTCCGCAGGACGCGCCGCCACCTCTGAAGATCACCAGCCGACGGCTCAGGACACCACTCAGTTGGGCTCCTTGACACAGTCTGAGGGCAAACCAGGAAGTTCAGCAAGACTAGTATTTCCTGCTATTCAGCTATTCATACTGACATGTCACTGGCTCCGTCTTCAATGATAAGCAGTGTGCTGGAGCTTCATTAACATCACAGAAGCAATTCTTGTGAACAGGTGAAACACGCTGGTGGCAATCTGCGGACAGGAGAATAAAGGAGAAGCCCCCGGCCAATCGAAATGACTCACAGCAAACGCATAACTTTCTCTTTCAAAAGATACATAAAGGAATGTAATTAAAGTTGATCTCCTGATGCCTCTTTGCAGCCACGACTATGTGCGCTCCAGGGATGGCAGCGTGGGTAGTGGGCTATGCTTGTGTATCATTGGTAAAGCAGCCTCCTGTGGTCCCGATCGGGAGCCCCCATGCGATGGGGTGACAATGCAAGAGCACAATTAGGGGACGGAGAGTTGTCACCTCATAATAGGAAGTGCCATGGCAGGATCACCAGGGATTATTTTAGCGCACAGCTGAACTTTCTATTCAAAGGCCCGGTCACATCTGGTCCATGTATTAATCGCAGGGTACCATGCAATGCGCCTACCATGCGTTAACAGTGTGGGAGACGCGTTGCATTGCCATTCATTTGAATGGCACCCCAAACGCACCTCCCGCCCCTTAATCAGCTAAATACATTCCAGGTGGAACAAAACAAAAGCTGTGCAAAAATGTATTGTTTAGTTCACACCAGCCCCAGTGCGTTCCGGCCCGATTGGTGCCGGAACGCAATGGATCGCATTCCGGCCTGCTCACTTTGTTTTGGGGCGGGAGGGGGCGTGGCGGTGCATTGAAGTCAATGGCACCGCAGCCACGCCCTCCGGCCGCAGGGCGCTCGCCTGCACCTGAAACACGTGGCACAACTTTGCCTGTGTTCTGGCCTGGTGCCGTCAGAAAAAAATAGCACATGCAGCATTTCCTCTAACCGCAACGGACCGAAACGCAGGCACTGATGTGCCACCCGTTCCAGTGCGATCAAATTGCGGCCGGAGGGCATGGCTGCGATGCTGTTGACTTCAATGCACCGCCACGCCCCCTCCCGCCCCAAAACAAAGTGAGCCGGCCGGAATGCGATCCAGTGCGTTCCGGCACCAATCGGACCAGAACGCACTGGAGCTGGTGTGAACCAGCCCATACAGTTTGCTTTCTTTAAAAACTAGCATGCTGTCCCCTGCCAGCATGCTGCAGGGTCGGACCCATGCTCTCTGTGTGGAAGCAGTGATCTCTCTGCTGAGGTATGACATGCCCCCCCCCCTGCTGAGTCACAGTACCCTCCAATCAGTGGGCAGCATGAGCTTTGCTCATTGCAGAGCTATAGGTCTGATGCAGTCAGGGGTGTGTCAGACCTCTGCAGGGAGACCACTGCTTCCCCATAGAGCTCAAGGGTCCTTCTCTCCAGATGCTGACAGCAGATAGGATTTTCTACTCAGGCTGTGGCTGCTTTAGAATGAAAATGAACTATGACAACACCTTTTGTTTCGATGCACCTGGAATGTATAATTTGGTTTACACCGGAGATTGAACTGGAGTTTAATGAAAGCTACACATACTGGGAATGACATGGGCATGGAATGCGTGCTGGTGGGAGTCCATGTATCCCATATGAAGGCATGGCGAAAATTGTATCCCGAGCTGTGCACAACGTGTACATTCAGAAGATATATTGCTGGAAGGAAGAAGAGGAGATTCTACTGTAGAGAGGTACGGAGTCTCTTCTGCAATACAAGTCTACCTGCCAGCAAGTATGAAGTTCCAGGCCGAGTTCACCTTTCTGATCGTGTGTCACCCTT